AGTTCCTGTTCTTAAAGGGAATGCCTTTAACCTCTCTCCATTAAGAACAATGTTGGCTCTTGGGTTTTCATAGATACTTTTTACTATGTTGAAGAAATTAACAAATTATTCTTCTGACTTCGAACCCATACTGGTTTAAAATCTACCATCTATTTATCATGTCTAGCATATATCAAGAGTTACTAATTCAATTTTGCTAACATTTTACCAAGAGTTTGTTATACTTCAATTTCCTAAACAAATAAATGGATAATGGAGGGGTTTTTCCTATTTTTTTGACAATCCAGTTTTAATTGTGTGTCTGTTATTATTTCTAAGCTTGAAAATTTGGAATGTGCATTCCTCTAATGTGAAATTTTGAAGTGAAAATTTTGCCTTAACATAATTCCAGGATTTTGAATTAAAAGCTTAACGTTAAAAAAAGAGTTGCAACTAGTAATTACTTTTGCTAGCTACAATATTCTAATACTGTGCAAGCTACTTGTGTATATATTTAGTTCATACTGAATTATTCAGAACCTGATAATTGCAAATCATGTCTACAATGCTTCTTCAGATTTTAAGATGTAGAATGTATAAAGACTAAAAGCTGAGATTTTTTAGTTATTTAAAAGACTAATAATATATAAATTCTTCATGTAACATATCCTATTAAAGGGACAAGCTTCAGATAGGAAGAAATGTAAGTGAACCTACTTCTCTTATTCTCCATTCTAGGATCTAGGACAATTCCAAATTTCTTTAGTTTCTAAGAGAGATCCAAAGATTTGTATAGTTTAAGTAGTTCTGAGTACTAACTTCTCTTTCACTTGTAATAATTTAAATATTCAAGAGAAAAATAATTTTAAAATATCAAGATGATTTCAGGTTCAAACATGTCTTAAAAGTGTATTTACCAAACAGCTATGAGATATCATCTCACACCAGTAAGAATAGCACAATTTAACAGAACAGAAGCAACAAATGCTGGCGAGGTTGTGGAGAAACTGGAACACTTATTTGCTGTTGGAAGTGTAAACTGGTGCAACCACTGCTGAAAGCAGTGTGGTGCCTTCTCAAAAAGTTGCAAATAGAGATACCATTTGACCCAGCAATTCCACTACTGGGAATATACCCCAAAGAGACCAT